TAAGACGTCTGAAAACTCAGGGTTATCATAATGACGTCACCTTTCTCCAAGCAAAACTTTTCCTATCCAATGCCTGTACTATTAAGCAATGTTACATTTTATGTGGAACAGTGCAAATGCATAGTAGTTTCATAACTATGATTATTGCATTCATATATTGCGAATTATATGAAATTCCCGCTATATGCACGAATATCGTGGAATATAATCTCTTTTGATTTATTTCACTCTTACGCTTCATTAGTTCAATTTTGTTCACCTTATGTTATTTTAATTATAATTTTAACAATCGGTTTAGTAACCAGAAGACATCAAAGCAAACTGGAAATACTCTTTTCTTGGGATAGCTACCTCATGGCCTGAAGCGAATCGTTTCTTGGTGCAACGTACTAGAATCAACTCTATTATTATCAAGCATTTTTCGTCTTTCTCCATTTACAATTATTCTAGTTTTAATGTATAAATAGAGAAATAATATGAACATTTTAGAATAATATTTTATATGGGAACATTTGTTTTACGAAGATTTAAAACCTATCTATAGCCCGAGATATAATGTGTTTCCAGCGATACGAAGCAAATTTTCCGGAGCACACCTCGGTATTATAACGTAGGCCATAAATCTGCCGGTACAAGGCACGCAGAAGTGCAAAATTCAATATGGAGGTGGAACGGGAGAGGTCGGCGTAGATCCGGCTTAATAGACGAATGTTTGCGCGCATCTGGAACCGTTTTGAAAAAAACACTTTTCCGCTTCCTGTGCATTTTTCGCTTCCTCCTCTTTCTCCGTCGTGCCTTTCAATCGACGTGCTAAACTCATATTCGGAATATCGACCAGCTTACGGGCGCCATATGAATATTTATCACCGCACGTTTACCAATTTGGAATGCGGTGTAGCGAAATCGTGATAGATGGCACGGCGTCGTGGTTATTTTAAGGTATCCTCGGAAGTGGATTGAAATTTTTCGACAAAATCGAGTTACGTCTACAAAATTCAATAGAAAATAACAAAAATCTAAACGGTTAAAGTTTTTAGTTTCAAGGATTCATATCCGGAACGTTTCGATACAGGAAATCTAAACCTCATTATCATGGACGCAAAGCTTTACCTTTACCGGGTAAAGGATCAGTCTTTCATCAAAGGCTCAATCTGGTATTGACAGAGGAACGGGATGGAACCCGGAGGGCATCCGATACGTTCAAAACATTTATAACTACACCACCAACGTGATCATAAGGCATCAAACTGTTTGTTGATTGTCATCTATTGATTTTTCACAACGACCTTGTAATATATTTTCGTTCTTTACAATATAACATAGAAAGTAGAAAGAAAAAAAATTGTTTTAATAATATTACATTATTTTTATTATATATAGTTATAATTAAATTGTATAATTTGAGAGTGTACAAATTGAAGATCTTTTCAAAAAACCTTTTTTGCGCTTTCCCTGAAATGAAATGTCGCTCAAAAGTCCTGATGCTATTTGTAATCGCGACTTCCAACTTCGATCTTACTGCCAAAGAAACCGAGAAGCGAGTCCAATTGAATTTATGGCTTTTGTGAGGTCGAGGCGTCGTTTTCTTGCTTATAAAACCGGAGTCGCCCTGTTTCTTCTGGTCTGGTGGTGTTTTTAATTGCTACCGGAGAGCTTCTTGAAAATATTGCTACTCTATC